TGGATGCATGCATGCATGGATGCATGGATGGATGGATGGATGCATGAATGAATGCAAGGACGAATGAACAGATGCAAGGGCTGACAAATGGAAATTTCAATTTGGCTTATACCTACATGAACCCCTTTTTATTATTTTTTCATGTCATTTTAGGAACCAAACCCTGATGATCCTTTAAACAAAGGTAGGAAAAGATTACTTTGCTAAACATTAGTCTCCTACGCAGCCGCGATTAGTGTCATCATGCAACGCTACTTAGTTACTACTTAGGGCAGTGAGCGTTGTGTGACGACACTAATAGTGAGTGCGTAGGAAACTAACTAAACATAGAACTGTCCTATAATTTACAACTATTGGTCACCTTACAGAGCTGTGACACAAGGTTCCCTCCACACGCACTACCACTACATTCTATATTTACAACATAAAACAATAACTCACATGTTGATTTTTACGGAGGGAGGATACCATAAGGCACAAGAGAGAACCACACATCAAATAAACTCAATTCACAAATGATCCAATCTGAGTCAGGACTCAAACCAGGACCACAGTGGTGAAAGGCGAGCAATAAACCACTGTTGTGATTGGTTGAATCATTGACTAGTAAATACCATGCCATGTACATGCTGCATGATAGCACTGTACTTTTTCCAACTTGTACAGAAACTTATTTTTATATTATATTATAACAGTGCGACTACTGTAATGGGGGCCACCTAGACAGCAAGAACCAATCAAATTGTAGAATGAATACTATCCATTACATGTAACATAAAGGTTAAATTATCATTCTCATGCAATCTAAGTTTCTGATCGGCCCAACTATCCAAAGTTGGAATACATTGTTTTCAGTCTACATTTTGATTGGTTACCTATGTAAGTGGCCCTGGTTATAGTAAGAGCATCACAGGGAACCTGACTATAYTTTGATTACTTCTTTTAGAAATGTAACTTTGCCCTTAATGGGTTGCCTGTGGTTTAGGAACGCTTCCCTGTGCTGTAACAGATCCGTGCTGTAAATTGATAGGTGATTAAATTCAATCACCTATCAGTTTACAGTACAGATCTGATTACAGCTGGAGCTTTTGAAACGTAAACCACAGGGAAGCGATGGCAAACCACAGGAAACCCATATAGAGCATAGTTACTTTTTTAGAAGTAACTATGCTCTATATGGGTTTCCCGTGGCTGCACTATAATATATTTTTTCCTTTTGCTTACAGAAGCAGCAGAGGTACTGCGAACAAATCGACGACTCTTCGAACAAAATGTCCAAAAAGCAATGAGAGGGGGTTACGTAGGAAGCGTGTATTTCGAACGATGTCTAGTGAAATAGTATCATTAAAACAACCAAATAAAATAACAAAAAAATAATTTGGCAGAAATGTATTTAAAAACCAAGCAATGTATTTAGGATGGCACTAACAAGGACGGACAGACTAAAAGTATTAGTAGAGTTCTAGACCAGCAACTTAACCATGAATAATATGATTGTTACGATATTTTTATTACAATACTTGTGATGTCTTGTAAATACACAACTGTACTTTTCAGATTAGGGAAAAACAAAGCTTCATTTACATCTCAAAGTGTTTCATATTATATCCCTGAGGTTTGACTCAAATATGGTTAAAAAATCTTCTTTCCATGCTTTATATAAAGGTTTAAATGCTAGGGCAAGGGTTTGTATTGAAATTCAATGAATGCAATGAATTTCAATGCAAATACGAGCACATGCATTTTAACTGGCTTAAAAAACAACCACGCCCTATTTTTAATGTTTGATGGAGGGTTTGAATTTTGAAGGAGGAACTGTCCCAGGTTTTGAATTCAGACCCGCTCTCCCCTGTTAGTATCAATGCTAAATTCAAAACCTGGGACAGGTTATCCATCGAAATTCAAAACCGACATCAAACAATAAAATATGRTGTGGTTGGTTTTTAATTAGGGGCTAGGGACTGAAATTTTATGTGTTATTGTCAATTGTGTCTCATTATTTTTTTAATGGTTTTACGACTGATATTATTCTTGTTTTCCACTTAAATAAAGCCAATGTTTGCATTTTGATTCCAGAGGGCTTTGAAATAATGAAACTAAAATACCTCTTTAGATTTATTGGGATTAATGTTTTCATGTATTTCAGACGACCACATGTCATTCCCTAGAGTATTATTTTTTTTAACAGTTGCACATGAGAAGACACATGAATATGGATACAACTCAAACAAAGAATCTTATTCTCAAGACCACGTGTCATTCCCTAGAGTATCATTTCTTTGTTTAATGGTTGCACATGAGAAGACACATGAATATGGACACAACTCAAACAAAGAATCTTATTCTCAAGACCACGTGTCATTCCGTAGAGTATCATTTCTTTGTTTAACGATTGCACAGAGAAGACACATGAATATAGATACAACTCAAAGAAAGAAATTTCTAATTTGCAAGAGAATGACACGTGGTCTGAAATGGGAAACGTGATATCCAAGTTAAAGGCGTCTTTGGTCATAGTTTCATCATGTAGAAAATCATGTACATTGTACCAGACAGTATTTGGGCTTCCTGTGGTGATGAATACTTCATCACTTCAAGGATTTTCAAAATGGCGGCTAAAATGAATTTTCTCGGACTCGCAAAACTTTACAATATTTCTCTTTATAATCGTTTAATTCCAAAACAAAAACTACTTGCAGCCTCACTGGTAAGTATTTATGTCATAATTCTCTACTCTCTTTCTTTCTTTCTTGGAAGTTTCTTTCAGAAATAATTGCAAAATTCTGTTTTGTGTGTTTGTGTCGTAGTTTTCATTGAGCTTCATAAGGTTATTTACTAAGATTGTATCGAGTCAAATGGCTAAATTTTTGTCTTTATTTAATATCTTGTGTTTTAGGTTCGCTTCCAGTCGACATATCAGGATATACAAGTATGTATTCAATGTTAACTTAATTTATTTTYGTAGTAAATTTTTGCAAGCGAATTTGCACGTTAGCTTTGTGCATTTAATGTTTTCTAATTTTTAATCGGATAAGGAACTAAGCATGAATCTTTCTATTCCTTGAACCCTTACAAAACCAGGTTAAACTCTGGTGTAATATGATTTGGGAGAACACTACATAGCATTCAGTTGATGTAATTTATTCAGAAAATCTATTGTATTTTATTG